TCGGGATCTCCTACACTTGGTGGGAGTCAAGGTTGGCCAGGTGTTAGTCCCCGACGAGTCGCTTAACCCGCCGAGTGGCCAGTGTTGGACTCGGCGTGTCTCTCCCGTCGAGTCGTGGTTGTGCTGTCTATTCGTTGAGCCAGGTCACGCACACGTGTCCCTGTGCTACGAGGTCGGACCAAATCACCCTCCATCGTTACCCATGGATTTTCAATGTACACCAGCAACTTTGCTATGGGTCTGGATTAAAACAGATAATGATGCATACGGAAGCTCACTTTCATTTTTCTGACGAAAAGGAGAAGAAAAAGGAAATAAACATTGGCCGACATTTCTCTGCCGTGATGCAAACAAGCTCATCCCTCGGTGCACAAGCCACATCCTTCCCCTGTTGTATTCTTTGTATTGAGATGATTATTCTTTCTGTCTATTTGTTGTCGATTTTGAAGTTGTTTTGCTTGAAGACAGTTGACATTTCTTCTGATTGAGTTCTGATAATATTGCTTTTGTTTTGGCTGGTTATTCAGCTTGTAAAGGATTACCAAGCATGGGCTTCTGGTGATACGTCAAGGCAGCCTCTTGGAACCGGGAAGATTTGATTTTGAAGCTTGGATGGGACGCCGGTTTGAGTTTACCATCATCATGTTGGACCTGCAGGCTACACACTAGCTGAGCCTTATCCATGTTTTTATGTATTGTAGCTGTTTATTTCTCAGATGTGGTCTTGTTCTCAAACAATTCTTGCTTCTTTTAAGTATAAAAAGAGAAGGAAAAGAGAGAAAATTTTGAAAGAAGAGATGTTTTTCCAGAAATAATGGTCCCGGACATTGGACGAAGACCAAAACCGCTTGCCGCTGCCCTATGTGTATGTGATGGGGCAGGTGTTTCTCCCAATTCCAAAACCCTTGATTGTTATATCGATAAAAAAAAAAACCCGTTTCAATAAAGGATCATTAGCTAGTTATATCATTGTTAAAGAAGCGATTGCTCACGAAGCGTTTTTAAGGTGTAACTACTCTATTAAGATTATCGTCTAATGTTCGAGACTATACTAGCAATGTTTTAAAAACCTGAACTGGAACCGTTTTGGTCACCGGTTTCTGGGTCAACGGATGGACCATTTGGTCAAAATATCAGTTCATTGAAATTTAAAAAATAAAAAATGGTAAAAAATCTAAGGTTTAAATTATCGACACGTATCGGCTTGTATTAGTCGATACATATCATTCCGGGACCTTTCGATATGCCCTTACAGTGAGTGTATTGGAGGTTTGACCAGTTCAAAGGGTAGAGGAGACCTAAACCGGCCCCTTAAACCGGTTGCAAAAAAAAAAGGCTTAAAACACCGTATCAATTCGCCTGATACGCCCGGGCATATCAATATTTTGAACTTTGCAAAAACGTTATTTAAGTCGAATGGATTGATAATTTAACGACCTGGGTCGGGAGTTATGATCAAATCAATGGTTTTTGACAAAGGAACGGTTCAGTGGTGAAACCGCACCAACTGCCTGGCCAGTTTCTAGGCTGAGCAGTTAACTGTCCAAGTCAGTTCCAAAACCACGATCCGAGTTTTTTAAGTATTCAGTGCCATGCACCATTAATAACATCCATTTGACCCGTTCTTTCCCAAAGTGAATCGCATCAGTTCTGGAACAAACCAACATACCGATCCAGCCATCGGTTGGTTATATCTTTTCCAGGTTATATCACCTGTTTTGAAGTCTGTCTTCCTTCCCCTTGCAGGGAGTATGCCAACAAGGGTGTCAAATGGACTGAATTTGGTCCAATCTGATCCAATCCAATTGTGAGTCCATTACAAATAGACCAGATCCAATCTAATCTAATAAATATTTTGGCTAATTCAATTCAATGTTTAGACCGTTTAATCCATAGTTTCTAAAAACGAACTGGTGATCGAACCGATCAAGGGTCCGATTATCGGTTTGAACAGTCCAATCGTTCGACCCAAATGGCCAGCCCGTTTTGACAAAAAATAAAAAATTTAAAAAATTAAAAAAAATTAAAAAAATTAAAAAATGGTCAAAACCGTTCGAATGGTTAACCGGCCGATTCAACGGTTTTCTGACCAAAATCAACAGTTTTGGGAGAAAAAGTGGTTTTAGAGGAAAATGGAACCGATCGGGTGACCAATTCCTAGTTTTTTTCGATCCTGTCCGGTTTTGAAAAATAGTTCAATCCGTTCAATTCGTCTTGACTTATATTGATTCCAACCCAAACTTTATCCATTAAATATTGACTCAATCCAACTCAATCCAATATAAATTCATTACGGATGGACTGGGTCCAATCCAATCCAATAAATATCTTGGACCATTAAGTCCGAGTTCGTCCAATTCAATATTTTTTATTGGTTCATCCAATCTATCCAAATTGGTTTTGGTTTGGATGGGGTCCAACTCAAAACCGGTCCATTCACACCCCTAATGCCAACATTAAGCTCCGTTTGGTTACATTGCAAATTTATTTGTACTGATATGGTAGTATAAATGATTTGGGTGCAAATTCTGATTTATTTTTGCTTCAAATTACATCTTGTTTTGTTTGATTGCAATACAAATGGAGTAAAATAAAACTTGAAGAAACAAAATAAAGTAAAACCCAAAACAAATTTAACCAGAATTTGTACTCGTGCATTTATACTAGCACATATAGAATTGCACTGCAAACAAACACAGCCTAAAATAAATATTAAAAAGTTGAAAGGGGAAACATTCATGTAATAACATTCTTCATATTCGTTTTTTTTGGTAATGAAAAACAAATAGATAAACTCAGAAAGAACAAGACAGGAAAGAAACCATAAAATTCAACCTCATTCATTTTATTTCTTTTTTCTTTTGTATCCTCAAAACAAATGATTTCTATCTATATACAAACATGTCAATAAAGCCCTACAGCCCTAGTTCTAACCTTAACTATGTTACATAACCTTTTTCTTTCATAAGCTAATCAATGTCTGCATGAACATAATCGATGAAAACAAAGTTTTTCTGGAGTTCGTTTAAACCATAAGCTAAACCAGCACTGAGAATTGCAAGCCCACCTAAAACAATCCGTAATGACATCTCTGAAGGGATTCCTGCTGTTGCACAACAAATGACAGACACACCAATGAAGATTTTTTGCAGTGTTTGGAATGCTGCATAAGCTCCTTTACATGATGAGCACTTGAGCGTATGCTGCTCAAACCTATCCAACATCTGCAAGACAGGAAGACAGGGGAGACAGAAGTGTTCAATACATCAAAATCCAAGGAAAAATGTTGGGCCAAGAAAACATTTTATGTTAAGTTTCTGTACCTGGCGTTTAGATAAGATTGTGGATGGCAAGGGTTGTTGGTTGGTGGGGCCAAACCACTCAGGTTCGCTATTGCCATGTCGCCTCAGCCAATTCCGAAATGCTAAAACAAAACGGTCTGCTTGTGTGGGAGTGAATGTTAGTTTTGTGTACTGCTTGTTAACATCAACAGAATCCTCCTTGGATTTTGAGAGGAAAATTTTCTCTTGTCCCTGAAGGACAATCATGTCACCATCATAGACCTTGTTTGATATCCAATGCTCATACCATCTTGGAACCACCTGTCGTAACAATGAGTGGTGAGCGCTGTTACTATATTGTTCAGCTTGCTTTGAGAGGTCCTCAAAGACCAATATCCAAGCAGTAGCAGTTCTAATGTTGTGAATGGTGAAGATGAATGGAAAAGGATGGAAAGTAACATGGTAAACAAAAAAACCAAAAATCATGCCTTTCTGCTTTATACATAATGAACAAAGCAAGTTTGCTAAAAAAGAATGTATCCCATAAACCAAGCAGAAGACGCGAACATAAATTCAATGACAAAATAAACCAGAAGATCTTAACTTTTTAACATTGTTTCTGTGAAAAGGTGTAGTTTATATAAAAACACCTGGAAGAAAAAAACATAAGTTTCTTACCTGCCACCAGGCTGGCCCTGGCACTGTGAACTGGAAGAAATTTCGAGCACTACAAACGATTGAACGAGTCTTTCCAGGTGCCATTGGTATATTGAATGAACAAATCCATATTTTCCATTTTTGGTCACCAAATATAGGGAGCTTTGTGTCAATCTCTATCCTGATGGGGAAGATCAGAGAGAAGTATTAAGTTTCAGATTTTATGAGCAATAACATCAAGGTAAAATGAATTTGCTATAAAAAAATGTCACAACATGTTGGTGATTCAGGTGAGACACAAGAAAATGTTTATTGATTGGGTAAGGTGTCACTGCCTCAGATGAGAGTGGATGTAGTTCCCACTGACCTGGGATCGCATCCCACCTTAACCCCCTCTCCCCCAAATTTTTATAGCAAAAGAAATACTATAATTTTGTTTATTTATAAAATTTCCTTTCACTATGAAAAATTGACTTTTCATCGGAACAAGAAAAAAAACAAAAGAGGGGGGCTAGTCTATATAGAAATGGCATAGACCAAAGTGATAGTGATGATTAACTTATTCATAGCATAACAAGGTGCAAGAAACTTTGCAGTGATTCGTGGGTTTCCATCATTTGATCCACTGAAGCCCCAAACACCACTAGACTCCATCTTAAATGTCAAAGGCTTGGCTTTGTCCCTTCTCCCTGTAACCTGTTGAGCAATTCCAGATAACAATAAAACCTGAACATCAATTCTTGTGAAGCAAATACATTAATAAAAGATATTTATCTTCTAATTGAAAATAAAAAAGATATTTATGTTCTCCTTTCTCCAGGGGAAAGGAAGGAGAGGAGCAAGGAAGAGGCAGGGGAACAGTTCTATATTTTGTGTTAAGATGACAAGAACCTTGTCCATTTAAAAATCAACTTTATGAGATACTTTTCTCTACCATCAAGTTAGCAATAAGATCGTATAGTCACACTCTTCAATGCATCAGCGATTCTGTTAGAATTTAGAGAGGAGACATGGAATGGTGGTCCCTCTTCTCAAAAGAAGGGATAACTGGTACATTATGGGGGCTCCAAACCTCTCTATGGGTCCTCTGTCCACAGAATATATACAAGGCATCGCAAGAGGTAAGGATATTTAGTCCATTACAAACAAATAGATCTAAAAGGAGCAAACATGTACACCATCAGTATTTTGCAATCTTGTTCATCCTGAAAAAAAAGTTCTCATATTCCTGTATTTCTTCAAGATCAAACTCAATCTATGGCATAAAAGCATATGTTTGTACTTATTTCTTTAATATCATTATCCAAGTAAAGAAGATAACTCAACTAATCCTCCCTTTTCTTACCTGGTACAGTTTTTCCAATTACATCCCAAATAGAAAGACATTTTAAACAAGATTTTGTGTTGGATACAAAGCTTTGAAGTACCTTCACATGCCATATGACTCTACCTTACCAATGGGAACTTCATAAATTAGAAATTATCTTGAAATATTTGAAACTTCTACATATGCTTCTCCTTAATCAATGAATCGTTTGGTCTAGAGCACCTTTTTTTTAATTGATAATTATGCACATTGAAAAAGAGAGACAGAGACCAGGCATGGACACACACAAACACCAAAAAAAAAAAAAAGAGTAGAGGGAGCAGCCAACAGGACAATGAAAGGTCCTCTCAAGTTTTAATAAGAAATACCAAAATATGCTCCACATGGTTCATATTTCAGTAGAGAACTTGAATATAAGGTGTTATTTAGCAAGTTGCTAAGGGGGATTTGATGTCAATTGTCAAGATGAACATGGAGAGACCATATTGCCAAAAGGAATGTGTGGGAAGTCCAAGCATGGAATGCTTGAGATTTTCAGTTATCTGTGGAAACAAGTGTTTATACAAGTAACTAGATTCGTTAAGAGGATTTCAATGGTTTAAATGTTTAATCTCCTTCAAGGTAGGGAAGGTAATAGTGCTTATCTTTGTGAGGATATCGGTGAGGTAGCAGACTCTTAAAAACTTAACTCCCATTCTTGTAACATATAACATGGACAAGGAGATGGAAGTCTGCAGGGAGGAGGAAGCTGGCTGGTGGCGTGGATGGAAGGATACTGTCTTATTAATCTATTGGAATCTATAGCTTCAAAACAAGTTGACCTCTCTAGACACTTGGACAGATTTATAAGAAACATGTGCTTTCTGTGCAAGGAATCCACTGTGCTGATGGGTCATGTCTTGCCTCACTACTGTTTCTCCTTAAAGGTGTAGCACCACTTATTAGAACCTTTTATTTTATGCATCAATAGGTAATACCAAATGACATGATAGAACTGGTAATTGTTTGGCCGGGAGCAGAATTTAAAACATCTTGACAAATACATTGTTACTCTACATCTTTTTTTTTTGTACGTTAGTGCATTTGGATGGAGATAAGTATTTCCCCTAACCATGTTACAGGGAGAATCAAAATGACACTGTATTTTTGGTATTCAAGAGCATCAAAGTTGTAGACAGTTCAAGAGGTTGGCTACTACTCCACTTGATTATACACTCAATGGGTCTTGTCAAGCCCTTGTTCATACTTTATATAAATTTTACTTTTCTGTAAGGCTATATGAATTTGCTAAACTCGCCCAAACCATACAACTGAAAATGAAGTACATAAACCATAAAATAGTAATTAAAGGTTCACCTTGTGATGAGCAAAATCAATGTGGGAAGGATCAGAGACATTCTCCATGAGTGTATCATAGCCATAGAACAAGTCTCTTTGTATTGTCACAGTCGAGAACGAAGGATCATCAAAGTCATCAGGCAGCCTAAACGCATTCCATGGAGAATTACAATCACAGATTGTCACATGATCATACGAAAATGAAATCAAGTAATGATAAATACCCATTTCTTTATTATGCTAGCAATCAATATAACACTAGTTTATTAGAACATTAATTGAATTATCTACTGGTTAGTGGTTACTGATCCAATAAACAAATGTATATGGAAGTAGATTACAGAAGCAAAGAAATTACATGGGAGGCTTGGTAGCAGAAGCTCTCTCCCATCCATTCTCGTCGGGCCAAACAAAGAGCAGGCCCTGGGAAACCAGCGTGGGAAGCCTCGTAGCACAGGCTTTGGGCGACCGAATGGCGCTAGCCTCGGGACCTTCAGGTAAAGCCTGAGGGATCCGAGTACAAGATCCGCAGCGATTAAAAGACCATCCATGGTACGAACACTGCAAATTGCCATCTTCATCGATTCGTCCTTCCTAGTCAGAAAAAAATACAATATTCCAAATCATCACCACCGAAATCCCTGAAATTCAACTCAAAGGAATTTACATAAAGAGAGAAGAAGGGAGAGTACAGAGAGGGGAGCGAGTCGGTGGGGGCATTTGTCGTCGAAAGCGATCCACTCGTCGGTGGATCGGTCTTTCCAGAGAACGATCTCTCGGCCGAGTAGTTGAAATGGAGTTGGGTACCGAGGGTCAAGGTCTTCGATCAGAGAGACAGGGTACCAGTGGTCCCTCCATGAGAACTTGGAAGAGGAGGAGGAGGTGCTTTCTTCTCCTTCTTCTTCCTCCTCCTCCTCTTCGCCTTCGACTACTGGTGGCGTCGGAGGAGCTGCCACGCGCAGAGGAGGACAAAGACGACTTCTTGCTCTTCTTCTGTTGCTGCTGACGCTGTTCGTTACAACAGTTAAGGTTGTGGAATTTGTATAGTCATTTAGAGCGCGAAATGTACAGGACTTGAGAAAAAGAGAGTTTTTGGGAGTTGGGTTTACAGTTGATGCTGCTGGTGATGGTAGAGTGAGAGTGGGTGTTGAAGTGGAGAGAAGTAGCGCCATTTTTTTCCTGGTCTCTGTTCGGGGTTCGTTTTGATTAATATATAAGGATGATTAACAGAGATGGATGAGAACGACAGATTGAAGATTATTTTTTCTATTTTCAGAAATAATAAAGGGAATATTTTTACTTAGAGAAATTAATCAAACTGGGCTTAAAGCTTAATTAAAAGCTAAAAACAGGACCGGTTCTTAGTGCTGGAAAGTTGTGAGAGGTGTTGGAGAGAAAGGAAGGGAACTGGTTGCGTGCAAGTTTGTTGAATGTTTTGGAGGTGGGTGTGGATGAATCGAACCATTCTAGTCTTTTGGAAGAAGAGGCTGCAAATGATTTGACTGACTGTATAAAACGGACAGATCAAGTTGTTGGAGAGACACACAGACTTCTCTCGGGGTGGGACGAGGAATACGTCAAAGTTGCCACGTAGCGAACTATCGATCAAGACATTACCGACTTACAGACCATAAGAAGCGAAAAGGAGAGAGCTTTTTTCTTTTTGAACGTTCAGTTTTCACATTCATTTGGGAGGGTTTCAGTCTTTCAGTTTTGATTGAGCTGCATTGACTGAACCGCTTAGAGTCCGTTTGGGAAAATTTCTTCGTTTATTGAGCCCTCTTGAAGAAGCTACTAATCAATGGCTTCATCACAATTCACAAAGCCAATTTTGCTGTTAATGTATGAGTACGTTTGGCTTTCCGGGTTTTTCACCAATCATGGCTTTGTGTTTGTGACTTTCAACGTGGGGCCTACTTACCATGCAATACAGGCATCTCATATTGTAGTGCACCATAAGTGAAGTCTGGATCACCGAGTCAGAGATTCTCTTATCCATTCTCTTATCCGCCTGTAACTTACAAGAATCATTGTTTACGTAGACAAACAAATCAAGGATTGTCTTCTCATCTTAATCCAACATGAGATACTGCGTGTATGCCTATTGAAAGTTGAAACAACTAGCGCCCATGGAATCTGAAACAAGCTTGCTACAACTGCCCTGAGTGATCTGGACTCCTGCTTTTATGCTGCATCTAGAGTTCAACGCATAGGCCATAACCACGAGTTCATATCTAGGGGGTGTTTGGTTTGTGGCGGTGTTCATGTTTCATCACAAACCTTTGTTTATGATCTTCCGAAGGAGTAGGAATTGGCTAAAACTAAAAACAGATGTACTTAATTTATAAAAACAGAAATGGATGAGCGTCCATCGTCTAACACCCTGATTGTGCATTTCCAATTCTACCCCTCCCTGATTTCATATTTTCAATCCTATCTTCTCTTAAAATATTGATTTTATATTTCCAATTCTATCCCTTCTCTGATTTCATATTTTCAATCCTGCCCCCTCTTAAAATGCCTGAATTATATTATATATATAATATAATATATCTGTGTCTGTGCCATTTATAAAAATAAGGATGGTGATAATGTTCTGTCAAAAAACCTAATTTTTTATTTTCCATTTTTACCCTTTATTATGTTTTTTATTTTTCCAATTTTATTTAATTAACAATTAACACTTGTAATTGGATAATCTCTTTATCTCATCATTTATAAAAATGAGGATGGTGACAATATTTTGTCAAAAAGCCTAATTTTCATTTTCCATTTTTACCCTTTATCATGTTTTTTATTTTAAAGCTTGATTTTCACTTTCCATTTTTACCCTTTCTTATGTTTTTTATTTTTCAATTTTATTTAATTAACGGTTAACACTTGTAATTGGATAAAACAAATAAAATAACAATAAGACTACTATGGAACATATTCCTCGCCTTATCTGATCTTCTCCCGAAGCACCTACTTAATTAATGAACTTCTTCATTGATTAGAGCCAATACGTGTCAAGTATCGGATGGTTTGCCCAAACCACGAATTTAAATTAAAGGGAAGAATAGATTTTTTCAACCTATCTCTTTTCATCAGGGAACAATTAGATGATTAAATGAAGTTTTTTTTTTCTCCCTATTTTTTTTTTCAATTGTCTCTCTTAACATAATAAATTGTATAGGATCAAGAAATGCTCTTAGGTTCATTATGCGTCTGTTTGGAACCGTTGTTGTTACTCTAGAAAATGGTGCCACATTAGCGCCATGTAGGAAAAATGGTGCTCCAGGAAACAACCATATGTTTGAAACCATTTTTCCATAGAAAACGGTGCTCCAAGCCACGCCTTGGAAATCGGGAAGGCATGGCTTGGAGCAACACCAAATTTGGCATTTCCTGGAGCTGTAGCTTGTTGCTGCCAATAGGGCAGTGATGTGGTAGTGGAGCAGCAACGATTCCAAACAAAAAAAAGGCACTGTTTTTTGAGAAAATGGTGCTCCAAGCCACACATTAGTGCTGCAACTGCAGCATCGATGCCAAACATTTACTATGTTGATTCATTTTAGGTGTTTTTTCTCGATGATCATCGGACCAATCCGATAATCTGACATCCTACCAACATAATATCGTAGGGATTGTACTTGGTAGGGCCATAGGGGTTTGGAATGCATTTTGATGGCAGGAGATCTGGATTCTTCTATATAAATCAAATGGATGTTCGATTCAAATCTGAATATAAATGAATTAGGATTAACCTATATCCTAATGCTAAGCATTAGATATGCAAATAACGGCCCCACCATTGATGAGCAGAACGGTAGGAGGCAAAAGGCCAAATGTCATCATTCACACATGAAGCGAAGACATAAATCCTAAAACCCCAATTCTCTCCTTTAAACCCTTCTATGCATAGTGTATATCTTATCCACTCCCCCTACTTTACAGTAAGAAGGAGGAAGCAAAAATGGCATCTCTCTTATCCTACGCACCTTTTCCTCAAAATGAAGAAAACAATATAAATTACAAAAAAAAGAAATACGCAAAAAAATTACAAAAATATAGAAAATCATAAAAATTTCTATACTATACTAAAAAATGAGAGTGTTGTCTGTACCATTTATAAAAATCAGGATGGTGACAATGTTTTGTGAAAAAGCTTGATTTTCACTTTCCATTTTTACCCTTTGTAGTTTTCTTATTTTATTTAATTAACGGTTAACACTTGTAATTGGATAAAACAAACAGAATAATAATAGTTTTTTATTTTTCCAATTTTATTTAGTTAACGGTTCACGCTTTTAACAAATAAAATAATAATAAAACCGCTATGAAACCTACTCCCCTCTCTCCCCTTAGGCCTTATTTGATCTTCTCCCCAATAGGCCACAATCGGATCGGATTCTGATTGGATGTAGCAAAATTCGCATCCGATCCGAATATTAAGAAATTATATTCAAATTTGATCCAAAATTTGACTGGATTTAGAGACTCGAATTCGAATTTGAATCCTAACAAACTCATATCGAATTCGGATTTAATCTAACTCCACTTTAAGTGCTCTAAAATACCAGTAAAACTAAATATTATTTATTTTTCAACTTTTATATATAATAAATTAATATAAATATAACATACTAAATTTATTATGTATAAATTCAGATATAATATAATATTTAAAATATATTATTATAAATTTTAATATAATTATATAGAATTTATATATTAAAATTAATAGATATTATAATATAATCATATTCAATTTTTAATCAAATCATATTGGGTCAAATCCAAATCTGATTTGATTATTAATTGGATGTAGATTGTAACATCCGAATCTGATCCGATTACATAAATATGTAATATGAATCCAAGATAATCAAATTGGATGTTGAATTGGGCCTCGAATTTTTAGGTATCATTGACAAGCCTACTCCCCTCAGGTCTACGTGACGAACCTCTTCATTGATTAGAACCAACATGTGTCAAGTATCGGATGGTTTGCCCAAAACCCACAAATTCAAATTGAAGGGAGGAATGGATTTTTTCAACCTCTCTATTTTCATCATCGAACAATCAATTAGATGATTAAATGAAGCCTTTTTTGGTTTTCTCCCTATTTTTTTCAGGTATTTTTCCCATTTCCCCTCTATTTCGATTGTCTCCGTTAACATAATAAGTTGTATTGGAACAGGAAATGCTTTCAGGTTCATTATATTGATTTGTTTTAGGGTGTTTTCTTCTCAACGATCATCAGGCCAGTCCAATAATCTAACACCCTACCAACGCAATACCATAGGGGTTTTGTACTTGGTAGGGTCGTAGGGGTTTGGAATGTGTTTTGTTGACAGGAGATCCAGACTCTTCTACAAAAATTGGACAGATATTCAATTCAAATATGAATATAAACAAATCAAGATCAACCTATATCCAAACGCTAACTGTTAGATATGCAAATAACAACCCCACCATTGACGAGTAGAACGACATAAGGCAAAATGCCAAATATTATCATTCACACATGAAGTGAAGAAATAAATTCTAAAACCCCAGTTCTCTCCTTTAAACCCCTCTCTGTATAGTGTATATCTTATCCATTCCCCCTACTTCACAATAGGAAGGAGGAAATAGAAATGGTGTCTCTTTATCCTATGCACCTGTCTCTTAAAAAAAAACAATATAAATTACAAAAAAACAAAGAAATACACAAAATCATTTACAAAAATAAAAATAAAATCATAAAAATTTTTATACCATGTATATCTTATATAATAAAAAATGAGAATGTTGCAATTGGTTTGGCCAAAACACCCTAAATTACAAAAAGCAAAGAAATACATTGAAAATTTACAAAAAATGTAGAAAATCGTAGAAACTTATATATCATAGTGAAAAATGAGAATGGTGCAATTGGTTTGGTCAAAACACTCTAGTTTTACTTTCCAACTTTACCCGCAACTTTCTATTTTTTCCATTATATATATGTTATTGCAAAATAATTATGAGAAAGCACATAAAATGAAGAAAATAATATAAATTATAAAAAACAAAGAAATACATATAGAAAATCATAAAAATTGAAGAAAATAACATAAATTACAAATCTATACCCAATATATAAAAGCATAGTCAAATATCACCATCAATATCAAATACTCCATGGCACGGGCCATTCCACTAGTAATATTTAAAAGGAATAAAAATAGTTATGAGGTATGGTGGAATGATGAAAAATGAAGAGAGGTATAGAGGATAGCTAAAGCAAAGGGAATGATACTAAGGTCGTTAATTCTATCTAGTATTAATCAAGTAATAGAAAGATACTATCAATAAAGTAAAGTAGCTGTTTTAATGGTAAGTAAGATTCTAATGGAATTAGCACCATTAGGTTTCTTAAGGAGTATGCACCTACAGAAGTCAGCACAAAACCATAAAGATTGCAAGGAAAATTTGATTTTCATTCTTCCATTCATCCATCTTAAATGAATGACTCTTTACAGTGAACACTGAATCTGTTGGTTTTTCCTGATAGTTATCCTCCTAACAAGCGTATGTAAACAAGGAATAGCTATCTTCCTAACCGCATAATATTTTCTATGTAGTTAGCACCACAACTGATGGGGGATTAATTGCAAGAAAAGCTAATGACATCCTTAGATGACACTCCCATTGATGAATAACTATTGATTCAACTGGCTGTGATATTCAATTGCGTCTTTATGTGCGATAACCAAGAACCCCCCCACCCCCCATCAAAAATCAATTAAAACCAACGTTTTTAAAATTGGATCGTACTGGAAATCGTTCTGGGTCCAGTTCATAGGTTGAATAATTAATCCGACTGTCCGATCTAAATGGATGACCTGTTCTGAAAAAATAAAAATGGTCAAAAAACATTGTTCAGATCGACGGTTTAACCTCCAAAATTAATGGTTTACTGACCAAATCAATGGTTTTAGGCCAAAAAGAGTTTTTGGGGTGAAATGGAACTGATCACTGGTTTCTGGTTTTCTGGTCCAACCATCCGATCCAGTTCAGTTTTGAAAACACTGATTAATTAAAACCCTTGTGTGAAAAACAACCCAACCCAAGACCCTACTTCTAAGATGATTTGAAGAAGAAACAAGTCAAGAATTCCAATTTTGACAGTAATCATTGCCCCTGAAAATCTGAAAATCTGTGGAAGAGTATTTGTTCAGCTTACAACAAACAACTATAACTATAGGTTCTCTCTTCTTCAACCAATATAAAACATAGTTGAGAACAGAAGGATATAGTGGCTGCAAAATCCTTCAGTGTCAAACATAGATGTGAAGAATACGGTGAGAATTCTCACTTCTTCTTCAAGCTATTAAACGTGGTTGTCATGTTTATGTGAGTATCCCATGAATTTTTATAAATAACACCTAATTGGCTTACCATGTTTATGATGCTGGTTGATTGGTCAAAAAATTTTCAGATATCATATCTTTCCCATATCATAGTCGAACCCTTGGCCTCCGTTTGGTTTGTGGGATGGGGATGAGAAAAAGGGAATATTCTAAAAATATTCTCTTTTCTTTTATTTGGTTTGAGGGAAAAAGAGGGATGGGATGGGAAAGACGTGGGATGATAGATCCCAAAATCATGGTTGGTGCGACCCCGGTGGAAAAACTAGGAAATCACTGTTACCACTTACCATCACGATGAGTAGAGGAGGGAAGGCCGAGAAAAGCGAACCAGCGATGACAAAGAGGAAGGAGAGAAACAGTGCGACTCCGTCTTCCTCCCTTTCTCCCTTTCTCAGTGACGACGAACAGACAGTAGTCCCCTATCTCTGTCATTGGGTTTGTGTTCCTCTTCTCTCTGTCCCCTGTCTCTGTCCCGTTCTCCCTTTCTCAGTGCAACTCCGTCTTCCTCTTCTCTCTTCCCTCTCATCTTCTCTCTCTCCGTCTTCTCTCTTCTTCTTCTTCTTCTTCAGACTATGACAGGCTCAACGGGAGGTTTCGGCTCGGATGGAGGGGGTTGGGAGCTGGCGAGAATGCGCATGTTTTGAGGAAGGACGGACTGGGGAATCGTCTTCATTGTCGTGCCAAGACTCCGACTCTAATTCATCAATAGGTTGATTAGAGTCGGAGTCTTGGCACGACGATGAAGACGATTCCCCAGAAACGTACAAACCTCAATTTCGTACAGACCTCAATTTCACAGTCTTCATCGTTGTCCTACTAAGGTCTGTACAAACCTCAATTTTGCAGAGGTTTGTACAATCTTCATCGTCCTACCCAAAAACGATTCCCTAGAGTCAGAGTCTTCATCGTCCTACCTAGAAACGTACAGACCTCAATTTCGCAGCCCAATGTCACCCAGAATCGTCTCTTCTAATCTGCTAGACTGTTTTCCCTTTTTTTTCCTTTATTCAGGAAAAACGATGTAGATACTCTGCTTAAAGTTGACTGATTCCCAAAATTAATGTCGGTTAAAACGATGCAAAGAACAAAAATTTCTCATAAAGCAGGAGTTACAATATTAGCAGAAGAAAAGATATAGGATCATTGCATTTTAATCGGAGAGATATCGGTTGAAACAACCACAATTGAATATATTCTATTTCCCATTCTACTAAAACAACCACATATTCTAATGAAACAACCACGAACAGTCGTGCCTCTGTTTGTGAAGTTCCTGAAGCTGTGCCTCTATTTGTAAAGTTCCTAAGGAAGGACGAACGGAAGTTTCTGAAGGGGTTTTTCGATATGGTGGTGTCTTCTATCTGAAGGGGTAGTCGTGCCTCTGTTCGTCTCGAATGAAGGAGGAAGGTGAATAGTGCCATCTTTTACACTTTCCCATCCCATCCCATCCCAATAAAACCAAACACTGAAAAGTTAAATTTTTATACTTTCACATCCCATCTCATTCCATTCCACACAAATCTTCCCACAAACCAAACGGAGCCTTGAAAAAATCTATGATGCGGAAAAGATATGGTATAAAAAGAGTTTTGACCAATCAAAACCCTTTTGTTTTTCCTTGCGTTATTTTGACAGTATTCGATTTAAGCTGTCCAGGAGAGGAAGAGGATCCCAATGTTTTGAACATTCAAGGATAAATTTGGTATTATGAAAGCATTTGGAGTGAGCTGTTAATGGCTTATTGGCTTTAAACAGTGCAATGATAAATTAAGGTCCTATTTGTGTTATGTGGGGCCGGTCAACAAGGCATATATAAATTGTTTTTAAAAGTTTAGGATATATATACAAGTAGTTTCTCAAATGTACAGAACATGAAAAAATTATATTAATAATAATAAATATAGGTCTTATATGACTATAAAATAAGTTATTTAAATGGATAAAAAAACACACTTTAATGGTTTATACAGTGTGAGATATCAAAGACATAATTAGTAATGGTTGAAAAATGAAAAAAAAAAAACTAAAATCTGTATGTATATTCTTTAATTTAAAAAAAATCAATATAACTTATCTTAATTATCATTTAAATTTTAGTAATTAATTTTAGAATTTATTGATAAACATCCCAAAAAAAGTGAAAGTTTATTTAAAAAAAAAATGCATGTAGTTATAACAAGTAAATGGGGCATGGCATGGCTTAGTGGTGTATAAGGTTCAAACTCAAATCTTCTTTATTATTGCCCGTTTTGGAGGGTTTTCACGCAACAGCTTCTCCCCACCGCAAGGTAAGCCCCACGAAGCCATGTTTGGTGAAAAGCCCAAAAGGCTTTATCAGTTTGAGGCCGGCCAAAATTTGGACTGGCCTCGTCTATTTAGAGCAGGCCCGAAGGTTGTGTTTGGTTTGAAGTAAAAGTTTTTCTACATTTTTCTTTTTTTCTGTACTTTTTCCTTCAAATTAAACATAGCCTAATATCTAAGTAAAACTAAGTTGCGCATGGAGAGCAAATCAGCCCCCCACAAAATTGCCCCCAACAACGTTCTACAGCACATTTCCCCATGTATTGAAAACATTTCCGATGATGATATAAAAAATGATGAATCATCATTGGGAAATATTCACAATACACGGTGGGAATGTGTGTAGGACGTTGTGGGGGATGATTTGAACTCTGCACACGAGTCCATGACTCGGACAAGCATTTAAAAATACAAACAGCATTCACACAGTCGAAATTGACACAGACCGATCTCCAAGAAAAGTTATAATAATGGAGTGTGGACCAGCGTGCCACTTCGTCCTTACTAATTGCTTATGCCACCTCTTATGGCACTGATATTGGACACATGCTTTGGCCACCTTCTCTTATTCACAAACTTCAGAGAGAGAGAGAGAGGAGTCGTAGCTGATCATCACCCTCCATTATTGCCATGGCTTCACAGCTTCACTTCGTTTTGATTCCTCTAATGGCCCAAGGCCACATGATCCCCATGATGGACATGGCGAGACTATTTGCAGAGCGGGGAGTAATGGTCACCATAGTCACTACTCCCCTCAATGCTCTTCGCTTCAACTCCGTCATGCACCGGGCCATTGAATTCGGCCTCCCCATTCGTCTTCTCCAACTCCAATTTCCACATGCAGCAGCAGGCTTACCGCCAGAGACGTCTGAGAATCTGGACACCCTCCCCTCCCGAGGTTTGGCCAAGAGCTTCTTTGATGCCACCGAAATGCTCCAAGAACCACTACAACAATCGCTCCAAGAACTACGACCCTCACCCAACTGCATTATATCCGACATGATTCTCCCATGGACATCTGATATCGCCCACAAGTTTCAAATACCCAGAATCATCTTCCATGGAACCTGTTGCTTCTCTCTCTTGTGCATCCACAATATACAACACCACAAGGTTCTTGAGAGCATCACCTCCGACTCAGAGCCCTTTGAGGTGCCAGGCCTACCAGATCGAATTCAGCTCACCAAAGACCATCTTCCCGGAACTGTTACTCAGACCTCTTCGGATCTACAAGATTTTCATAATCGTATAAGAGAGTCTGAACTATCGTCCTACGGAGTGGTGGTRAATAGCTTCTCCGAACTGGAGCYTCGTTATGCCGAGGAGTACAAAAAAGCTAAAGGAATGAAAGCCTGGTGTATTGGGCCAGTGTCATTGTGCAACAAAGAGTTGTTAGATAAGGTGGAGAGAGGTAATAAGGCCTCAATTGATGGAAGCCAATGCTTGGAGTGGTTGGATGCTAGAGCTCCAAAGTCTGTTGTCTATGCTTGTCTAGGCAGCCTCTGTAGACTGATTCCTCCACAATTGATAGAGATTGGGTTGGGGCTAGAAGCATCAAACCGCCCATTCATTTGGGTAGTCAGAAACAGCAATGAATCCTTTGAGGAATGGTTGTTGAAGGAAGRTTTTGAGGAGAGGACCAAAGGAAGAGGTCTCCTGATTCGGGGCTGGGCGCCTCAGGTATTAATCTTGTCTCACTCGGCCATAGGTGGCTTCTTGACACATTGCGGGTGGAATTCAACACTGGAAGGGGTTTGTGCGGGTGTGCCCATGATAACATGGCCTATGTTTGCAGAGCAGTTCTGTAATGAGAAGCTGATTGTACAAATTCTCAAGATTGGAGTCAGGATTGGTGTTGATGTCCAATGTAAGTGGGGAGAGGAAGAGAAGGTTGGGGTGCTGGTAAGGAGAGAACAAGTGGAGAAGGCCATAGTCCAGTTGATGGATGGGGGAGATGAGGCAGAAGATAGAAGACAGAGAGCAACAGAGCTCATGGAGATGGCAAAGAGAGCAGTGGAAGAGGGGGGATCTTCTCATACCAACATCACACTGTTGATCCAAGATATCATGAATCAAGTAGTCATTCAGAACAAACAGCCACTGTAATTGTATCCTCACACACAGGTAAAAAATTATGGGCGAAAAGCTTAAGCCGTTAAGTGAAGTCTCTGAATAAGTTTTTATTCTCTAATATGTCCCCTCATTTGAAAGTCCATCCCGCTTAAAGCTTGGACAAGCATAGACGAATTCATACCTTGTGCTGAAATTTAATTAATTATAACGAAAATGACAATAATTAAACATTAGAAAGAATCATTCAACTTAGGTTGCATTTGGAAACGATGCAAATGGAGTATAAATCCCAGTTTAGGGTAAATTTGCAAGGTTCACTTTTAACTGTGTTTGGCGACATTACATTTATGTAATGACAAATGATAGAACAATGCATATTTACATTGATAATAAGATATAAAAGTACATCAATAAAAAAAATAAATTTGCATTCAAGTGGGTTTTTGATATTACCCTTATCGTTTAGTTAATTGACTAAGTGTATCCTTGCTGTTTGAAAATTAACTAACATTACCCCTACTATTTTTTACAGTTTACTAATACTTCCCTTACCTTTAACATTCCATCATAAACCATTCAAATGTACATCACGTAACTGTTATAGTTTTCAAAAATACCCAATATGCCCTTCTTATAACTTCCAACCCTATTCGAACTCAGCCCTCCGCCACACCTCTCGACTACTAGACTGCGTTTCTCCCCCATTTCCAATCGTCTGCTCAGGTTCATCTGCCAAAAACATCAACTCCATCGTCCCCTGTTTTCTGGGACTATTGGAAATTCCCAATCCCCTCGATGTGGACTCCACACTGATCTAGTACTCCCGTGCCACAGGTGCATCCCTTTCACCCTCCTCTGACATTTTTCCATCTTAGATCATCAATCCCACCAAGTTTCACCCGTTGCTCCTCCATCGCTTCAACATATCGCCTCGTGGTTTGTCGATAGAAAACCTGGAGACGCCACCTTCGAGGTCGTCGCCAGTCTTCGCCACGCCGGTTAAAGTTGAAGAGGACGTGCTAGTGATGGACGGGATTCTGGTCGGTTCAGTGCCGAGTGAGCGTACGAGGTCGGGGCCATATTCTGGCTCCTCGTCCTGAACCTTCCTTGAATCTTCCATTCGAGCCACCCTTTCATCCTTTAACGAATCGGGCGGTTGTAGAATCTGCAAGGGATGATGAGCTGCTGATGCTTTTGATAGGAGTCTTTCTCTAGTGGCTATGGCCCAACTATCCTTCATATAATCCATATGAACAGGTGCTTCTGTTTTTCTTATTTCCGTTCAACCCATCGACCACATTGCAACCTGCCAACACTGCTTGCATAACTCACCACCATGCAACCAAAACTAAGAAACACAAAGTGAATGGAATTGAAGTGCAACAGATTATGACTTGTCGATTGGATGAATGGATGGACCGCAACTGTCATTGGTGCTGTCTGATGTGTCTGAACTTAATAACTTATTGCCTTTTCAAGCATGCAATTGAGCCACTCCGTGGTGGACTGATAGGCCTTAGCAATCTCTAATATTTGCTGCATTAAAAGATTGACTAAGAGAGGATACTTAAACAAGGGAGGTGAGATTGATGGGGGATGAAGAAGAAGAAGAAGAAGAAGGGCGGGAAGAAGAGAGTGAGAGAGGAAGAGGGAAAAGGGAAGAAATCGGAAGGGGGTGCTGCTGCTTTGCGTCCTCTATGTCGAGTGGAAGTTGCAGCGACCGCCAATGACAGAGAAGGTAAAGATTTCGGTTCTTTCCCATCAGATTAAGGCACTCGATCAAAGAATCCATTCAAGGACGCGAAGCCAGTGCAGTTTTTTATAACCATAGCGCCGATGTTCAATACACCGTGGAATCTGCCGGAGGAGGGGCAGCGAAGCCGTGGAATCTTCCAGAGGAGGGGCGGCGGTATCTTTCAGGTAGTCGATGACATAACTTTGCATGTGCCGGAGGTTAGTAGTGGGGGTCTTGAGGCCTTGAGCAGAGATGTAGTTAATCTCTAGGATGAGTTTCCGATTCTAGGTGGGGTTTTTGCAGCCGACACGGTCATTTAAGGTGGGTTTTTGCAGGCACGGGTGCGAAGCTTGGTGGCGGAGTCGACCCAGGCGACGACGTAAGTCTACATGCACTGGAGGTTAGTAGTGGGGGGCTTGAGGTGAGTTTCTAATTCCATGGCGTGCTGCTCTTCTCATAGGTCTCTCTGGTTTCGGCAGGAAAGAGTGGAATATCACAAGCCATTAGAAAATTGGAATATAGACATAATCCAAATTGAATGGTTTCGGCGCAGGTATGCCCCCTTGTATAAGATTCCATTACAATGGTTCAAGTCAATTAGCTAAACCATAAAGATAGTTTAAGAATTCATGTTTGCAGATAAAAGTCTATTTGGTGTGAATGCAAAACTAATCCAATTTTACTCTTTTCCAAAACACAGCCTTATATTAGAAGAGAGCCTAAGACTATCTTTAACAATTCTTTATCTCATGGTTGTTATTTCTGGATCAATCACAAAGGAAAATTGCAGCCTTATTGTTAACTTCTGCCTTTGTCAGCAAGCAGCATTCAACTTCTGATATCTAACTAGTTGAAAGAAACATTTCATCTCAGAGGATAATGCCAAAGAGGTTGTTCGAGCAACATTGTCTAAATTTGCTAAGCAGTCCACAGCCTAATTCACAAGTACTTTTGTTTAAGTTGTCCTCAAAATTACATAGGAAGTCATGCTTATATTATCAGAGCTACTGTTCAATTACCTCAATTAGCCAATCCACTCACCAACCAAGTCTAGGACAATTTGCAGCAAAAAAAAAAAAAGGGTTTAGGACAAAATCTTTCCCTCTAGAGCCAAAACTTCACTTAAAAAAAAAAAAAAAGGAAAAAAACAGATCCACCTCAAACGCATGAATGGGCGAGTGGAACACACCAGAAGCATATCCTAATTTATGCTAAAAAGATTATCTTTTTAGCCAAAAAGATAAAAGTACAAACAAGGGACTGAATGAAGCAACGTGACAGAATGCTCCCAAACAGCCAAATATTGCTCATCAGATTCGGTCAAAGTCGTCAAATTGCAGTTTAGTATAGGCATCCTTATATTACAGGTCTTTTGTCTTCGTCACGACATGGCAGGATCCGCTATAAACAAGGCGTGTACAATGGGCTACATGACCCAATGGTCCCATGTGGCCCATTTTTCAGGATGTGGCAAGATCTGCTATAGCCCATAAATAAGGCGTGTACAATGGGACTATGTGGAGTAACATGTCATACACAGAACGCTCCCAAACAATCAAAATTTCCCCATCAGATTCAAAGTCATCGAATTGCAGTGTAGTGTGGGCATCCTTAGGTCTTATGTTTCCATCGCGCAGGATCTGCTATAAACGAGGCATGTACAATGGGCTACATGACCCATGTAATCCATTGTGTACACGACGCGACAAGATCTATAAACAAGGTGTGTACAATGGGACTGAGTGGAGTAATGTGCCGTGCAGAATGCTCTCAAACAGCCAAGATTTCCCCATTGGATTCAGTAAAAGTCATCAAATTGTAGATTCTGTTTGCTTTTTGGTAAGTTATTTATCTGGGTAAATGCATTTACCCAGGTAAGTATTTTCTAGGAAAGACTTATCCGGGTAAATGCATTTACCCATATAAATAAGGCAATGACCATTTTAACCATAAAAATCCAATATTAAAAAGGGCATTTTTGTCCCATTCAAGTGTTGATAACTTTCCCCCCAAGTGGGAAAGTTATTTACCCACCTAAGAGATGGGACCGAATCTAGTAGGCACAACATAAGTCC